ATGATAGATAAGAGATAATATTTTAAAAAATTAAAATTTGCAAAGATGTCATAAATTTTAAAATAATTAAATAAAAAATTATAAAATATATCATAAAATTTTAAAATAAATAACTAATAATTACTTTTTTATTATATAATTAAGCATAAAATAATATCTATTTTTTACAGAATCTTTACAAAATAAATTTTTTATAAAATATCTAAGCTATCTAAAAATAATTTGTTTTTTAATCTTAAACTAACAGCTCAATGATTAAGATATTCTTTTAGAAAAATATTACTTTTTTATAATAATTAAATTATTGAAATTTATAATATGAATTACTTTTACTTTAATATAATTAATTTTATTGACATAAAAATTTTGTGACAATCGATCATCACTACCATGTTAATATATTTATTACTATTATAGAATATTAATTAAAAGAATTAAATAGTACATTAAGTCAGCAAGCAACATAACTTGTATTAAGGAGAAAATTGATGAAAATTTTAAATCATTCAATGATAGCACTTCATTAACACAAGCATTTAGGATGGCTAGTTTCTTCAAAAATATAATAAGGCATGTATTTAATCCAATTGAGATGTATATATATATATATAATAGTTAATACTTGACTTAATGATTCCATGTGAGGGCTCGTTAATAGAGTTTAAGCACTGAGCTGTCCACGTGGTTGTGAAGGAAAATGAAATCAGATGTAAACCAGTCTAGTGGATCACAACTCTCTTATTGTTAATTAGCAAAAGTCCATGTGAGATCTTTAATTAATAAATGAATCTTAAAGGAAACAAAACGATTCTCTATTCGATTAAACTCAGATCCAAAAACTGACATTTAATGTATATCATGGGAATCTCCACTACCTCTTAATTAAATTATATTTCTCTACCAATGTTAGAACTCGTCAACCCCACCCCCACATAAATGCTACTATGCTGGTCTTTGATATTTTATGCATTGTTAATTAATAATTATCTAATTTTATTCTCATTTTTTTGCCGAATAATTTTATTTTCATTTAGTTGCCTATCCTAACCAACTTCCATGATTTAGTCACGTCATCTTGCAGAAATATTATAATGTAACGCAGAGTTATTATATATATATATATATATATTCAACAGTTTTTATTATAGGATGCCTTCTAAAAACATTTTTATTCTTAATTTAAAGCACTTAATTAAATATTAATTATTTTTTAATATTATTCATATTTAAACTTATTAGCTATGATAGAGAATATAATACAAATTTAAAAAAAATTACTTAAGTAGAGGTAAAATTAGAATTGAAAATGTATTCTATTTTTAAACAAACTAGCCTTTACTCCCTATGTGTTGCACGAGGAGCATTATATTATACTAATTTAATCTTATTCAACCAAAAAAATGTTTAATCTAAATTATCCTTAAACGAATACAAAAAAAATGAAAAAAATTATCATTTTAATGTATATTGAAATCGTAACTCTAATTGTCATGTCTTATAAGAATTGCATTGATCAAATTACATAGAAAATGAAATATGCTTGGGTTTAAAACAAACACATATTACACCAAATTTTTAAAAATCTTTCTATAAACAACATTTGTTGTGGTAAATGTCCCATGGGACATAAGAATCTTCAATCCTTCCTTGCCCTTAACTCTTGATAGTGTTATATATAATTAGCCATATGTGAAGACAGCTTCAATATATACAACCCAACATTTTGCAACGATTGCTCTTGACTCTTATTGGTTGTCATTGCAAGTGAAACAATAATAGATAATTGCCTTTTTTACATACGAAAGGACCATATACTTTACAAAGGATTCATATCCATTTGATGAATCAACATTTTTTCATTTTCCTTCGAACCATTTAAAGTGATGGCTTCTATGACATTTCTTCTAACATAAGTGGTACATAATCTTGTGCCATTATATAGACCAAAAGCTTGGTCTATATTAAGGAGCAACATTATAGGGATTAGATGTTAGTTATAATAAGAATAGTGGGAGTAAGATTTAACCTTTTGCATGTTTTTATTTCATTTGTTCATCTTTCTTTAAATGTATTATCTGTAATTAGTTTTGTTATTATAAAATAAAAAATAGTCAGAATTAGGTCTCTATTAAAATTGAACAATATTGTATTATTTTTTTAAAAAAATTATATACCATATTGCTTCACAATTTATTTTAGAGTGCAAATTGCTCATTCGATGATACTTTCGAGGCAAACATATATGCTAACCCTATTTAATTTACCCTACCAATAGAGACATGAACAAATGTCATAGGCATGTATTAATTAAAGTTGGCTTTAAAGCTGTGAATAAGGCTGGTCAGGCCCATCCCATATACCTTTTTTTTAAGATTTTTAAAAATTAAAATTTATAATTATAACAATACATATGTAAATTACAAAGTACTTTAATCAAACATCTAACATGTAAATATTTTTTGTCCTCATTATCATCAATTTTCATTAAAAAAAATTAAAACATTAGACCATTCAAAAAGAGGTCTACTTGGAGGAGGTAATATTATTTCAACAATCTCACTAACTTCATATTTGTTACCTATAAAAAAATTTTAACAAATCATGTTATCCCCATATATTAATGTAAAACTTTAAATAAATTATACAAATAAAGTTTTTGAAAAAAATCCTATTGGTTTAAGAGCTAGTTCAAACTTGAGCCCATTTTTGCAGGATTTATAAAGACACTGTTTAAAAATTCTTTTATACCAAAATCTCTTATTCTTTCAAGCCTGTACAGAGCCTAAAAGGATAACCCATCATGTAGACTCGATCCTTATTGACAATTTTAACTAGTGCAAGTGGTAAAGACACTTGTTAATTAAGTAAGTGGTTGAGAGTTCAAATATCTTTATACATGTAGTAATTTAGTTGAGAGATATCTATCAATACATTCAGTATCTTGGGAAAGTTAATTTTATTGCGGGCAGATCATACTGCTTGTAGTGTGTGTGTGTCACATGCATGTAAGAGCCCAAGATGCGAATATTCCAAACGATATTGGATGAGTCATAAACTGCTTCATACGCGCAAACTTCTGTCTAGAAAATAAAATAAAGGCAGTAATGGAAGCAAGAATAGAGGGGAAAAATTGTGTGTTTGTAGATATGAATATTATATTGCCAATTTGTGAGTTTTTGGCGAGGCTCTGTTGTATTAGAGAAGTGTGATATGTTATTTAAATTGATGGACCGATTCTTGTAAACTAGCTGGTTGAGTTTCACACGCCAAGGAATCGAATGCTTAATGAAATCATATTTCGTGGCTAAAAAATCTGGACTTCAGTGGCGTCTCCTTTAATCACTTGGATTCATTCAACGACTTCACAATTCAAGGAAATATTTTTTTTTATTCTTATTTTTTTCCCTGTTTGTATTTCTTTCATATGTCATGCTCCTCAACAAAAAGTCAAAATCATGTCCTATAACTTGGTAACACGCACGTTTAGACCAATTGATGAATTCACTCTCAAAATATTAAGCACGCAAGTTTTTAGAATTTGGTTTATGTAACCTAGATGCTGAATTTGCATTAATCTTTTTTAATTTCATAATTGAATTTTTATTTTTATTCTATATATATTATTGTTGGAACATATTAAAATTGAAAATCATAAATATTATTATATATATGAATTATCCTTTTCTAATTTAGAAGCTATAACTCTACCACTCAGTTTATGTATGAAAGTTTCTACACTACTCATACCAAATTGAGTTAGGGAGTATTTGAATATAATTTTGTTAATCAAAAGTCCTAAATCGTGCAAGAGGTGCTTGTCTCTTTTGGCCACTAGATCTCGAAGCTCCTCGTTCGATAATTATTTTTTAATTATAATTTGAAGCACTGTACCTTTCATTGCTAATAACAACAAAACATGATCAAACTTACCTAATTTCTTTGGATGGAACTACACCAGATTTTGTTCTCTACGTAAGAAAGCCATTTGAGATTATTGCAAATCTCTGTTTGCTTCGAATTTACTTTATCCTGAAAGGACTTTTGTTAAATAAAATGCAACACTGAATAAAAATAGGTTTTATTTACCAACAGGTGTTGGTATCAGTAAAATGGACTCTAAATGCTTAATTATGAGGTCTTGAGTTTGAATTTAAGAAAATATAAAAATGTCTTTGAGAGAATTATCCCAAATGGGTCCAACAAATAAAATTTAGTTTCAACATTCCAACAGTTATAATTGATTAATATATTGGAGGCATTATTTATTAAAAGAAAATTTCTGGAAAAGAATGCCTCCAAATTTCACCCACATTATATTCTCTCATCAAAGCCTATACTCCAATGGCAATATGCTCAATTAAGTTATTTTTTTCAAGTAAAAAGCACCTAATACGTCATATATAGGCATAAATAATACACACACACATTTAACTGAGCAAATCTTTTAAATCAATCTTGTACGTACAATAAACTCATTCACAGGTATATGATCCGTACATACATCACACGATACGCACACTCTAGCTTTCAGTTTTCCCATCAATACTGAGACGAGCGCCAATGAGGAGAAGATCTGAGTCTTCCACATCTTAGGCTAAAGAGTTCGGAACAAGTTAGATCTACACATGTAAATTTTCAACTTCACATGTGAACAGGAAGATTTTAGCTAGCTCCCAACTTACCTTTTGTCTCTTCATCCTCCAAGCTCTTCCAATTCAAAAATCTTTAGATGGCACAGACTCCTACGTTAAAGCTTTCTCTGCAGTCAAATATTAACGTAGACATGTATCACTCTATCCCCCACCCCACGTGCAATGCTCAATTTGTTCAATACTAGACACTCTTCATTCATGTGATCTTCGATCGGATTCAAACAATTCTATAATAAAATCGTGTTTACTTAGCAAGGCATTCATTGTAGAAATCTTCAACTTTTACCATTACCAAGGCTATACCGGCCAGTTGACTTTTTTCTGTTTTCTCCATTCAAGAGCTATATCTTTAGAAAGTAAGTAATCAATTGATATTGATCCCAGGGAACTAAATACATCGTATCTGTGCCTACAGTGATGAGAATGTATTATTCATGAAATGAAAATCATAGTGCTTGTGCAAAACCTTAAGCAAAAGAGAAAAACCTGAAGCCTGTGAACCACACCAAAAGATGATGAGAAGAATAGAAAACAAAACCCTGGCCAATATAAGTCCGACAGGAATTGATCAATAGTAAAGGATTAAACGAAGTAAGGGACATTTTCGCTGGAAATAGATCCATGGCTGATTGTGCTCTTAGGGGGTGTGTATACAGAAGAACTGGAAGATGAAGACAAGGTTGAAAGAACAACAGAAGCAGAAGGTAAAGATGATGGTTTTTGGGGAGGTTGAGGTTGAGGTTGAGACTGAGCAAGACCTTGTTGTGATTCTGCAGAAATAGGTTCCTCCATGGAAGAAACCAAAGCCCCATGAGAAGAAATGATCTGGCTAGCAGCTTCTCTATACTTGTACCTCAGAATCTCAGATCTTAAAGCATTTAGCTCTGCTTGTAATGATTGAACTTGTTGCTGCAAAGCTGATATTGCACCCATGCATCCATAAACTGGGTCCCTCAGCCTCAGGTTAGCTTCATAAACCAGACTGTTTGCAGCATCTGCTCTTTGGCTCTCAGGCACCTCCTACATATGATAAAACCACAAACTTGAGAAGAAATTGCAACTTCGAATGTTCCCCAAAGAAAACAACACACACATATAGACTTGGTAATTGATAGGAAGAATGAACCATTAGCATCTTGGAGACATTGCTTGCACCAAACACTTTATGAACAGCAGCGAACTTCTGAGGTTCATGGGGTGAAAAGTAAGGAGAGAAGGGGCATTCTTCAGCACATCTTCTTCTCAGAAGCTTACATGCAGCGCAAGGAGTGACCGTGTTTAAGGTTCCTGAAGCTGCTGGTCCATAGAAGTTCCTCCTTCCCATTTGGCAAGACGCTTCTGCCGCCTCGGCTGTGCTCTTCGCTATCTCTTCTGCTCTTTCTTTGAATCAACAAAAAGATGAACGGTCAGCTCAACAATAATCACAGATAAAATCCGAGTCTTTAGAGACAAACTATTACCCTGTCCAGTTGGCATCTGAAAAGAAATCGAAAAATCTATGATTTCTCAACTTTGGGTTTGATTAACTTGGTTCTCTCCTAAAAAAGGAAAAGAAAACGAGGGGGGAAATCTTTATTTGGCAGTATTTACCTGTTTCTGGACATCCAAGCATGCCTCTTGATTGTCTTGATCTGAGTGGTGGGGATGTAAGGAGGAAGGACTTTCTGAGGCACAGACTCAAACGGGTGTGGAAGTATTTTCTCAGAACAGGGAAAGAAGTGCTTAAAAGGCAAGGAAAATAGGAATAGTTGGTCAATATTATAGTTATATAATAAACAGAAGATAGCTCTATATATTATAACATATAATCACAGAAACCATAGAAGAAAAATGATGAGGTTGCATATGGCGAGATTAGATTGTCAATAACTTGCACACGTGTCAGTCATGTTGGCATGTGGGAATTGACTTTTGGAAAACAATGTCAGACTCTCGAAGGACTGGGTTTTCTTGTAATGTTGTGTATAGAGATTTATTGCTGCTATATGACGCTTCGTCATTGGTTGGCTTGTATTTGTCACTTGGAAATTTTCAAGTGGAAGCGATGTATGAGAGGCCAATAAGATCAGAGGATTGCTCTTCTCAACAATATTCTTTGGACTTTGGCTATTTCTCGATCGGTTGGGGAAACAGCTTATAATTGAGAAACAGTGCAAGAAAAACTCAGCCATGTTGAATGGTTGTGAACTTCCAACGGCTTATGAAAGGAGGAGATTATTTCACTCAATATTTTTTTTTTGGTAAATTTTATATACTAAGTTTTTCGTTACAGATGTTCTATACTACATTGATATGAAAGAACATTTTTTGTTAATTCTGTATAACTTTTTTGAAGGTTAAATAAACGGGTTTCTAATCTATTATGGGTTTCTGATTTAAAAAAAAAAATTATTCCATGCCTGCTTTTTTTTTTTTTTTAACAAACTATTCCATGCCTGATTTAAAATACAGTAGTGTTCATAAATAAATGCTCATTCAGAACACAGATAATGGAAGTGGATCCAAACATAACAAAAACTGAAGTTGAATTAGGAGTATTAATTTATGATCAATATTTTCGAAGTTGAATCATCATGCTCTGTACAGTGTATGGCTTTCGGCGCTTTGTTTATTGAACCTTCTGATTCTTTGACGCGCGGCATCCTCTGAGCTCTCGGATGACATAAATACGTGGCACCCTGTGCTGGTTCTGCTTTCCATGGATCTTCAAAATCGAAATTGAGACAACGTATTCGGAAATGATTGCCAGAGGAATTTCTTTTAATATTATGGCTTATAGCTCTGTCACTGTAATCCACCCTTGTTAAATGAAAAGATACTAAAAAGAAATTTAAAATTAACCCAGTCGTTTTGCCTATACATACACAAGGACACACTTCTCATAAAAGTTCAAGCTGTTGAAGAAACGAATGGTAAAAATTTGATTCCGATCTTGCAATTTTTTCTAATAGATAACTTGAGCAAATCAACATGGAGAATCTTCTATACGCTCAGAATCTTGTTTATGAAACGTTGACAGTGGTGGATCCTCGACAGACAAAGGCAATAGCATCATTTAGTAAATTGATGGTTAAGGAATTTAATTTCAGAGTCTAGTCCCTCACAGTGACAAATCAAAACTTAAATTTACATTCAGTGTTTATTTTGAATAAAATTATTTTCAGTGAAAAGGTACCTGTGTGCAATAAAAAAGATTTAACCTCCCCCCTAAGCACAACAAATACGCTGAACTGATATGATGGTTGTGTAAGATAAAGGATGGTTTTTTTTTTTTTTTTAGTGGGGGTTGTAAATTAATGTATTCTTGCTTCATATGTTTAGATTATTGACATACTCCTCTGCGCTCTTATATTGGATAGAGAAAGAAGATTGATTTTGATCTTGCTTATAGGATATTTATTTGACTATTTACTATATACATCTTTACCTTTTTACTTTTATTAAATGTTAAGGAAAATTATTAAAAAAATTGTCTTTATCAGGGTATGAGTGAAAACTTAATAAATTTTAAAGCAAAGTTAATAAAATTTAATTTTTTTAATTTTAATAAAACATGTTATAAGTACAAATAAGATCAGAGAAAATATTCATGTAAGGAAATTTAAATACTTTCGGGTCAAAGCTACATTTGTTGGGACTAGGCAGACGGTGAAAACTGAAAGGCGTCTTCCTTGGATGTTGTGATCTGCAAAATTTGATGTTTTGCAAGCCAACCTGTGTTCAAATTAAGGAAATTATTCCTTCACCTTCAAGTATGTTGCTCATACTGGAGTGTCTTGCATATATTCTTCACGTAGTTGTATTATACTTATGCTGTTACTAACTTGTCATCTTCCTTTTATGAGTATGTATTTGTTATTGCTAAATTGCTTAAATCGGATCTGAATGATGGATCCCTTTAGAAAGTCAGAGTCTTTCAAAGTACAGTACAAGGAGAATTTCAACTATCGATCACCAATGGGTTTTTAAAAAAATTTGAAAATTCTCTAAAAGTCTTTTGGACTGAAATGAAAAAAAAAAAAATTGATAGGTAAAAAAGCCGAAATGTCATTGTGCAAAATTAACGAATAAAAACTTTTTTTTAAGCTTGTAAACAATACAAGTTAGTCATATTACATCACATATTGTTTACTTTATCTTAGTTATAAAAATTTTGAAATGATGTTGTAGCAATAAATGTGGCAAGTTCATTCAGGAACTCCCTAAAATTAAGTACATTTCTTGATTACTATTTAACTTTACTTATTAATTATTTACTTGTATTTGTTAATTTCTTATTAGTGCTTGTTAAATAGTTAATTAGTTAACTCTATGACTCCATAATCTTAATAACATTATTTATTAATTTTATAATTTTACTTGTTAATTTATCATCATAATTTGTTAACTATTTAACTTAATTTGTGAATCTTTTATAAGATTTGTTCACTCAATTAGATAGAAAAACATTATTATTTATTGTTAATATTCTTACTTTACTTATTAATTTATCAATATAAATTATAGATTACTTAACTTCACCTGTCAGTAATCATATTAGTTCAATTTTTTGTCAAAAATGTAGAATCAATAATTATTAATTATTTAACTTTTACTTGTTAACTTACCAATATCAATTATAAATTATATAAATTCACTTGTCAATAATCGCATTAGTTCAATCCTTTTGTTCAAAATGTAGAATTATTGATCGTTAACTCTCTAACTTTACTTGTTAATTTATCACTATCAATATCAGTTGTCAATAATTTTTTTTCCTTGTGCAAGAGGACATTTTGGCTTTTTCAGCCATTAACTTTATTTCAATTAAATCTAAAAAACTTGCAAAGAATTTTCATATTTTTTCAAAACTTGCTAATAAATATTTCTCTTCTCTAGTGCTTAACTAAAATTATCCCTATAATATACTCTCCTGACCACAATATAAGTCACTATTAGTTAATTTACATTTTTACAAAAAATTGGTTAAATTTTTATTTTGTAAAAAAAATTGGAGATCTTTTACTTGTGCCCTTAAATAATAAATATAACATTTGACTTATTTAAAATGTTTCCATTAATTATTCAATAAATTTAAAATGTAATTGAAAAAATATATATAACATCTATCAAATATCCTATTTTTTAATAATGTTGAAGAGAACAGAAACTAAACAATAGGAATAACGTCCTGTACCAAAATTATATCTAAACCAGGAGAAGGGGAGAACAAAGAATGAAATCCAACGACACAAGACAAAGCCATCTTTGCAATCATATCAACTGCTTCATTGATGCCTGTACATTTTGCTGACTGTGCACCACCCATTACTTATATTTTGAATCAAGTAAATGTTTGATATTATAAAATAGTTATCAATATTTTAAAAGGAGTCATTATAATTTAATAATATTGGTTACTATAACCCATGCTCAAATTTATTTATTTAATCTCATTATTTTTTATAACAACATTGTAATCATGATTGAGTTTGTTTTATTATCCAATGTTTTGAGATCTTTGCCTAGGCAGTGCTTGTCACAAGTTTTGGACCAATCTTTGAGCTTTCAGACTTTTTCTCTTCTTTTATTATATTATTTCTATGTGCCGTTGCCTAAATTTATTACGTGAATTTCCATTGTTCTATGTCTTCATTCAATTTATAAGAAGAGACTATTTAATCTTAAGAATTGTCATGTAATTAACCAATGTGTTAGAATAACTGTTAAGGATAATGTCACTAAGTGTGATTCAGGCTGTAATTTTACTCGCTACTATCAAAAATAAAGCTTCTAAAAATAACTTATATTACGTTTCAGACAAAATACACACACAAAACAGGCATCCAAGCCCTAAAAGTTTATACTTTATACTGGCCACAACTCTCCTTCTCGCTTCTCGGAGTCAATATTTCACCACTTATTTGAGACGTTGACTTTCTTAGCCGGGGGCCTTGCAAGGTCCAAGAAAACACCGACTCAACTTCAGTGTGGTGCGCATTAATGTGACAAGATTTGGATCAGTTACGTTTTTACTTAGATAGTACAAATATAAAATATTATTTTATATTTATTAAAATAAAACTATAAAAATAATATATTTTTTTATTCTTATTCTTATCTAAATTTAATTTGTAGATTCTAGTTTAATACTCTATTCATTTAAAAATTAACGCATTTTTAATTAAATTTTATCTCTTATAAAATAGTTATTTACTTTCAAACTAATCATATCTTTTTATATTTACCTCTATCAAATACACTACAATTAATATAAATTTATTATCAACAGGGGCTTTTTTTAAAAAAAGTGATGATTATACCTCAAAAAATTAAAAATATCTTATATTTCTGAATGGAAGGAGTATTAAATTTTTTATAATTTTTATAATCTTAATTTTGATAAATATAATATCAAAAAAATAAAATATACTTAAAACTAGCATTTTTTAAAAAAATTATAAGTTAAAAATATTAAATTTAAATTATGCAGAGTATATCTAGATATTCATTATATAAAAATTATAAAATTTTTAATTTTTAAATTGAATATTAAAAATTAAATCCAGACCAAATTGATGATAATTTTTTTAGTTTTTATGATAATAAATACTATAAAATAATACTTTAGATTTGGATTATCTAGAACAAAATTTGAACTCGGAAAACACGCATCCACACATATGACCGCAAAAAAAAAAAAACACACACACACACACACAAAAAACCCGTATCATAGAACAGCGCAATAACAAAAATTAAGGATATCAGAAGATTAACTAGACCATACATATATAGCTGGCCAAATATATATACACATATATTCCCCATCATAATGTTGCATACTTGCATATGCATGCCACGAACCCCTTCGTCATCAAGGACGTGTCAAAAAGAGTAGCACTGCTCTTGAGGTAGAGCCCCTTTTCATGACTTTCACAGTTTCCCTCCCGTTTCGCTGCACTTCAATTTGTAGCTTTACTTTCCTGACTCCAGCCGCCCAAAAATCTATACTTCTCAGAATTGCCTGCACACTATTACGGGGGAAGAAAATTCTCACACAAGAGGCGGGAAAATAATTGAGAAGAAACTGCCGCTAAAAAAGCTAACCAACCATTTGATATGTCAATTAGAAAAGGGGGAAAAAAGAATTAACGTAGCGGAAGTTGACTCCATCCGAGCTTGCAGTTAATGACTTCACATATGAGTAAAACATCTATTCTTAAAACAATTAATATATTAATTGCATTATTATTATTTCTAGTGAAACTATAGAAATTCTCAAGTGATCACATTAATAAACTTATAATACCATCTATATACAATGCTTTTTCTTTTTATATCTTGTCCAACGGTGCCGTGACAATTCTTTCTTCATGAAGATGAACTGATAATTTTTTTTTTTAGCACAAATGAATTAATGCATTGAAGTTTAGGTTGTATATATCCTTTGCTCCACCTGAAATTAATAATCTCATATTCCAACAAAGTAATTTCGAACATATGCAATTATATTAAATAAATATGTTAAAAATATTTTTAAGATATTCATAAAATTGTTGTTGGTATAATAAATATTCTGCTTAGTAGGGCTCAAATAACGAGAAGTGATAGTATTTTAAGTTTTTCAAAATATTAAGTAATAGAATTTAAAAGATATCTTCTTTACTTTTTGAGGATTTTCACCCCTTCTAAGTCCATCTCTCATTATTAAGGTAAGATTTGATATAATAGTTAAATTACTAAAATTTACCTCCCAGTCGATATATTGAAGAAATCACCTTCGAGATCAATAGACAAATATAATACACATAATTCTTCGTATTTGTTTTTGTTTTTTTAACTAAAAAAGATATGTTTACAATTCAACATTATTCATTAGCTATAAACTGTATAACTTATTTCAAAGTTCAAACTACATGACATCTAGGTTGGTAAATTTGTCGAATAACGAAAATCAATGTTAAATACCTGAACTGATTTATTTTCACTGATTTTCTTCTTCTTCTTCTTTATAACGTCCAAAGGCCAAAAATGAAATTAATACTCGCAAACTAAATCTAGTCGATACAATAATACAAGAAAAAAGTGTGACTTATTTTAATGTTTATATATTATATTTATTGATTTTGACGAAAACAAAGGAAATGACATGCAAATTAACGGGGTAAGGTCTTAAAAATCCTTTAAAATTTATGCATATACTATGCTTTTATCGTTTTACACCACTGGCTGACACACGGTGTTCTTTCTCAGTACAAGCAGCTCTCACAAACACTGTTAACGAGATTTTACAGAAAATCTCCGAGCATCACCTTCTTGATCATGGAGGAATAGAACCCTCTAAAGCCCGCATTACCGAAACACATACCCCCCGAAACAGGCGCATCAAACAGATCTTCTTCGTCCTCCTTCTCCTTTCCCGGATACCTCATCGGCGTAGACGGCACCGAGCGCGATCTCTGCCACGATTGATACGACGACGACGAAGACGTGGAGGAAGAAGAAAACGACAGCGACGGAGATGAATTAGCAGGTGGCGACGGCGGCAGCGGAGGAGCATCAGCAGCCCGTGCTTTCCTTGCGGCACGCTTGGGGAATATAGATTGCAAAAGATTGGACTTAGAGGGAGGAGGAGGAAAATTCTTGCTCTTACGAGCTTTAACAAAGGATTTCGGAGTAGAAGAAGAAGCATGAGAGTAGTAAGATGGAGGAGGAGTGAGAGGAGGAAGAGTGGTTTCACGGAATTGATGCTTAGGAGTACCTGGCTGCCATTCCCACGTGAATGGAACTGAAGCGGTTTCGTCTCCATGGTAGCCTTCGTAATTGGAGAGACTCGATGGCTGCCTGGTTAAGTGGTGATCAGGACGTTGACACATCATCGTCGTCTTCATCTTGCTGTTGTGATTTGCCGCCATGGAAGGCCAAGCTCGATATATCGCTGGATGCAGCAGTTCTGTGAAATGGGACTGATGAGGGTGTTTGTATGTGCGTATGTAAGATGGTAATGGCTTAGATGGTATCGGAAATCGAAGTCGTGTTAGAGGTAAGACCGTAAGAGCAGTCTCGGAATTAAAGATGGTTTCTGAGTTCTGACAATGAGGTTGAGAATCTGGAGATATTTAAATTAATTAGCCAGGGATCAGATCAGAGGGTGGTGATGAGTCACATTGAATGTGAGTTTCAGAGTTTCAAGTCAACTGTATATACCCCTTTATTTTAGTGCTGCACTATTAATTAATTTTATCATCTTATTATGATTTTTATACTAATAATTCCTATGTACAAGACCAGCCAGGCCAAGTCAGCTTTTTGTATTTTGTTAATGTTTATGTCAGTTGTGACGAAGGTTGCTAGGAATTTACATGGAATGTATTTCCTAGATATATTCAATTATTTTTTTAAATTATTTGTTGAGATTCGTAGGGTTCGCTTGCAAATTAGGTGCACTTTTTGTATATTTATTATGAACTTTTAAATAAAATTATAACATATAACAAAAAAAAGCTTTAGAATTAATTGAATGGTGAAAATTGTACTCCCTCCTATTTTTAGAGCATATAGAGAAGAAAAACTCAATACTATTTATAAGATATTTGTTAATTTTTAATGCTCCCATTATCATTTTTGCCCTCATTAAATTCTTAGAATAAAAACATTGCTAATGAGGTTTAATAATATTTATTAGGAATAAAGGTCAAAACTTATTAAATTTTAAGACAAAGTTAATAAAATTTAAGATTTTTTTTAATTTCAAAACATTAAGAATAATTTATAAATAGGATCAGAGAGAGTATATGTCAAGGTCTAGGGGAAGATTTAGGTACTTAAATTTAATATATTTTGTCCACTTAGATTAAAATAAGTAAATTTCAAAGCATTATTAAAAATATTAATAAAAAATTTGTTATAGTATAATAGTATATAAAAAAACCCACATATCTTGATTTAATTGAAAGAAAACACATTAAATATATACGGCTAAGTCTGTAATTTTTTTTGGTGTTGTTTATAAGATGGAGTGAATCTTTTTTTTTTTTGTGTCTTATTTATAAGTTACATCTTAAATTTTTATCACAAGTTTCTTCATTTAATTTCTATTAAAATGTGGCAAAAAATAAGGGTAAAATTAAAAAATTATTAAATTTTTATACAAAATTAATGAGTTTTAAGATATTATTAATTCTCATTTTTTCACAATTATTGTTCTATCAGAGATAATTATATTAAAACATGGTCGGGCACTAAATATAATTTTTTAAAAACTCTGATAAAGCATATTGTAAGTACTTGTAAATATGATCAAAGGAATAAGTTTTTTGCTTTATCTAGAAATGTCATCCATTAAATTATCCTGTTAGAATTAATAGGCATACATTTATTGCATTTCACTTTAGACACTGATAATACAAATATATTAAGTTTGTTTTATTACTAAATTCGTGAAATTAGAGGGAGGACTGTCATAGTACTCCCTCCATTTTTAATTTTTATTTATAGAAAAAAATATTAATTTTAATTTATTTTTATATAATTAAAATCACATTTTTAATATGTGTTTATTGTAAACTTCTTAAACTAACTCTTATAATTTTATCATTCATGGTCATAAAAAATTAATGAATACTTAATAAACACAATTAATAAAGGATAATATTGTTTAATTCTTCTATTTTTAGATATAATTAATATAATTAATTAATTTTTTAAATTATATGATATAATTTTTTGTTCCTATAAATAAAAACAGAGTCTCACACTAAGCATGATGGGACAACAGCATAGATATTGGAAACTGTGATGTTTTACTGAACAATCCCACTTCTTTCTGCGAAACAAGATCGAAGAAGATCCTAGAATATTGAAGTTTTCACCTTCACATTCTATTACTGCAATTTTCGTTGTTATTACTATGATATGTTTAATTAATTAATTAGTCAATGTACATATATATATTATATAAAGAAAGAATCAATCAAATGACAAGAAAAGCAATGGACAAACACATGGCGAGATATATTCCAGTAACAAATTGAACGGATGACATACACATGCACTGGCGCAATAAATCCTCTCCTGCAAGCACGTGCCTTTTCAGGTTCCGTTAATTATTTAAACTCTGAACTTTTAATCATGCTTGTCAAAAACGGTGATCGCCAGGCCAACAAGTGGTTAATTATTTGATGCGCGTTGAGAAGTGTAAATTCATGAATATCTCAAAAGTGTCATGATAACATTAAGGAACTTTCTCATTCAATTTGGCAGCCGCCCTCATAAACGAGTCCTGGTACCAAACTCTTGTATCTGCTGACTAAAAAATCATTTCTCCTTTTCTACTTTGGGAAATAAATTATGATTTTTTTGGGCGAAAATTTAAGATTTTAAGAAATTATGGGGTAAGGTTTGAACAAGATTTGTCTGGCAGCATTTGAGACATAATTAGGACAGACTGACGGTTCTGTGCGGAGAATTAAGACTCAGAAGATAATGCAATTCAAAGCCGAAATGCAAAGCTAATTAAGAGAAAATGGCATTTGCTATTTGGTACAAACCCATTTTAAGGATGGGTGAAAGGGAAATTTGGCTCCTAGTTAAATTAAATATAGTTGCAAGAATATTTAAAAACTTAAACTCATTTTTTATTCAATATTATGCCTTATTTTTTGATGTAATGTAATCCTTATTATTGATACAAGTTAACTTTTATGGTTGGTTGATAGAAAATTTAAAAAAAAAAGAACCTCAAAAATTATAAATAGTAATCCAAAAAATTATAGATGATCCAAAAAATTTTCTTCATAACCTTTTTATAGTTTTTGAGATTTTTTTTGTTAAAATTAATTTTATTAACAAGATACAGGGGTGGAGAGAGGGGGTTGACAAGAGCCATAAACCATCCTAATTTTTTAATCTTTTTAATAAAATATAAATGTTATATATTTTCAGCTACTTAAATTGGCACGTTATAGAAGTTATAAAATACTTAATGAAATTCTCAATTTAATTCTATATATAGTCTTTTACATGTGTATAGAGTAACTATTTCAATAACTTGAAGATATAATTATTATAAAATTTACTCATTTTTAATAAGATAATACTATATACGCTCTTAAAGTAATGATAGATTTTTATATTTAATGAAAGAAATTATGAGAATTATTATTGACAAACTTTGTTAAACATTATAAAAAAAAATTTAAGATATATTGAATGTTATTTACTTGATATCTATTATAAAAATTATCTTATTCAAATTAGTTAAGAGATTGGGTAAAGATATTCTTTTAAAAAAATTACTTTTGTTAAAACAATCAAGCTATAATTGAATTTTATTATATGAATAATTTTTACTTTGATATAATTTGATCTCATTGACATAAATATTTTATGACAATTAAACATTATTAATGCATTGATATATTTATTTACTACAACTATCAATTAAAAAATTAAAAAGTAAATTCAATAAGCAAGTAAGTTTATTATATTGAACAAAACTTTAAGTTTTAATGATGTATTTAAATTATTTAATGCTTATGAGAATGATAAAATTTTACCAATTTAATGATAATTCATATTGAGAATTAAATTATTAAAATATTTATCATAGATATGATAACTCGTAATTTTTATACCATAAAAAATCAATGAACAAAACTTGATGTATATATATTGTTATACATGTGTAAAATTAAATATAAATATATATGTTAAAATATTTATATTATATTGATGATATATATATGTATTTAACTTTTTTTAATTATTATATATATTTTATTATCTCGACCTCCTTTAATAAAAATTTATAACTCTACCCTTGATTGTATGGGTTATATTGTATTATTTTTAAAGGTTAAAAAAAATATTGCATAAAAATGAGTTCAAATCTCATATGTTCATCTACCTATAGTTTTAAGAATTAAATTGCTATTTAAGTGTTTAAACATTTAAGAATAGTGTGAAATGACTGACAAAAAAGAGAGTAAATATTCCCTTAACATGCAAGAACAGACAAGAATATTCATGTAATTAACAATTAATTCTGCACTTAATGTTCGGCCAGAACGAACATAATTAATATGTGAAGACTTTGATCAGCGTGATTCACGCAAAATCACATGTCTGCGAAGGCATCCTCACGTTTTCTCTTTACTACCTCATTATTCTAAAGGTGTTCGAGATCATCACAAATTTTATGTTTGATCCATTAATCAAAGATGTAATTATGTATATATGTGCGCACGCGTGAGCGCACATGAGCTGATTTTATTTTTTGTTAACAAAGAGTAAGAACAACTCAAAAAAAATTACAATCGATAATGATTATTTAAAAGGACATTTTCATCATAAATTCACCTCTTGGCCAATTTTTAGGTGAATTCTTCTCAAATACTAGTTTCCTCGTGTTTCTTTTACTGTCTCTTTCAATTTTTAATTAATCCTTATTACAATTTAGTTACCCTATCCGCTTCGCTGGACATTGACTGTATTTTAGATTATAATAATCACAAGAACGTAATTTAGATTTATCTATATTATGATCAGCCGGGTAACAAATAAAAAAAAAGCCAATATTTCTTTGAGCAAAGTCAATTAAAACTGGATGGAAAAGAAAAAAGGCGCGCTAATATTTACTGCTATTTACTATTTAGATTCAATAATAACCTTTATATTTGGGCTGATCAGGGATCATGGTATCAATACAAGATGGTAGTATAAAAAAACGATTGAAATCTATACGCACAAATGAAATATATTAGTCATCATCAATAAGATCCAAAATAATAAATATTTCATCTATTTTTATTTATAAATCACTTACAGGATATTTTATTAGAATTAAGAGAATCCTTAAACCTACTTAACCTTATTTAAAAATTTAATAATTTTTCACCTATACCCCTAACAAGAAAAAAATGAATTATTTTTAATAATTTTTTATAGCATTTAGTAAAGGTAGAAAGATAAAGATAAAGATGCACATAAAAAATAGTGAAGTACTCTGTCTCAAGTTATAAGATATTTTTAGATAAAATCTCACATATCAATATACCTTATTAAATACATTTAATA